TCATATAATTTGCAATCTTTTAAGTCATCAGTCAATCGTTATCTTGCTCTACAGATTTAGTCTTTTCTCTTCCAGTAACTTCCAACTCTTATAGTGGTTGCTTGCAGCCTTGTTGGAAGTGAAGATGTTAAAAAAAAAAAAAAAAAAAAAAATATATATATATATATATATAAATATATATATATATATATATATATATATATATATATATATATATATATATATATATATATATAAATATATATATATATATATAAATATATATATATATATATATATATATATATATATATATAAATATATATATATATATATAAATATATATATATATATATATATATATATATATATATATATATATATATATATATATATATATCTATATATCTATATATACCTATATATATATATATCTATATATACCTGTATATATATATATATATATATATTTATATATCTATTTATATATATCTATATATATATATATATATATATATATATATATATATATATATATATATATATATATATATATATATATATATATATATATATATATATACTCATATAGTGTCGCTTTAAGAGCATTTTAATGTAAAAAAAGTCTCTTACGACTACAATTTTAATTACCTCGTCTCTTAAGCTGTTTTTGATTGTCATCGAAATGTCAAAGCAATTAATTTATGTGGAAGTACATTAAATTTAATTGTTTTTTAAAAAATTTTTAAAAAACCGCAATTATAACGACTAGAAAGTTTTTTTTAATTAGTGGTGTTTTTGTTATTGATTTAATAAAAGACATTTTTTAAACATGCGTAAATGTTGCTACATCGACTATCTTATAGCCTGACTCGCAACGGAGTGCTGCTACATCGACTGACAAATAGCCTGACTCGCAACGGAGTGCTGCTACATCGACTGACAAATAGCCTGACTCGCAACAAAGTGCTGCTACATCGACTGACAAATAGCCTGACTCGCAAGGGAATGCTGCTACATCGACTGACAAATAGCCTGACTCGCAACGGAGTGCTGCTACATCGACTGACAAATAGCCTGACTCGCAACGGAGTGCTGCTACATCGACTGACAAATAGCCTGACTCGCAACAAAGTGCTGCTACATCGACTGACAAATAGCCTGACTCGCAAGGGAATGCTGCTACATCGACTGACAAATAGCCTGACTCGCAAGGGAGTGCTGCTACAACGACTGACAAATAGCCTGACTCGCAAGAGAGTGCTGCTACATCGACTGAGGGTTTGGTTTGGCCAGGCAGTCTATCAATTAAAAAAAAAAATTTAATTTTTAAAACTTTTTCTGGTCTGGTTTATTAACGCGCTCTTTAAAACTACAGTTTATGGGAAATATTTTTTGATGCTACGCAAGAGACATGCAAGACTATATATATATATATATATATATATATATATATATATATATATATATATATATATATATATATATATATATATATATATATATATATATATAAATATAAATATATATATATATATATATATTTATATATATATATTTATATATATATATATATGTGTGTGTGTGTGTGTGTGTGTATGTGTGAGTGTGTGCGAAATATATCTCTCTCTCTCTCTCTCTCTCTCTCTCTATATATATATATATATATATATATATATATATATATATATATATATATATATATATATATATAAATATATATATATATATATATATATATATATATATATATATATATATATATATATATATATTTATATATATATACTCACACACACATAAACTAAATTTCTTTTTTTTTCTTTTCCCTTTGTCTTCTTTTAAATAATAATACAGCATCTTTGCGCTTTCCATTACTTAAAATCTTTTGTTCATTGTTATAAAAAATATTTATTACTGTCTGATTAACAAGAGAAAGTCCCACTTTAAATGATTCTCACAAATAAAGCTGTGGTTCAAGTTATATTCATATAAAATATATTCGCTAACTTTTCTGATCAAAAATTTCTATTGTAAGTAAACTTTTTTTTACTGCATCAAGCATAGCAAAGCAAATAATAACATGATTTGCAAGCAATTTTGAGGGAGTTATTAGACCTCTGGATAGTAGTTCAATGTATTTTGTATTTAAATCAATGAAATCACTTTTTAGCAATAAAGTACATAATTCACATTTAACTTTTTTAAGTAATTTTCTACATATATATCCAGCAATAAAAATAGCAACTTCTTTACTGTTATCATCTAAATCACATTCCTGAATATCATTAATAAAAAGTTCAGAAATCGAATTTATATTTACAACCGCCTTGAAAGTTTTTAAATCCATTTTCTAAAAATCAAAATTTTCTTTTAATAATGATCTCATTTGCAAAAATTTTTCAGAAGTTATTACAAGAAATCTGCCACCACTCATTTGACGATACTTTGAAAAATGTCGCTCCAATGGATCACTTTGAAAACAAGAGGTTAGAACAAAATTATATCCTTCAAATAGAAGATCTTCAATTAAACTAGAAGTACTTTGCAGTGTTACAATAAGGGCTTTAGAAGTCTGAGTTGTAAGAGAATATCTTTCGGTGGAACTGTATTGCGAATTTTGCCACTGATCAATCCAGTAAGCAAATGCACATAAAAATTGTTGCTTACCGTCCCCCATAACAGATGCATTTCCAAACTTATGATTAGAGTATTTCCTTTTAGAATTAGATATTACCCACCATAAATTTACGAGTTTTAAAAATTCTGATACTGAAAATTCATTAGGAAAATAACTTTGAATTGCTACAGATGTAATTTCATGGAATATATTTAATGCTAGGTTGACGTCTTGTTTATTGTTACCTGGATATAATGTCTTTTCTCCTAGTTTTGATGCCTTTCTTAAGTTTGCTGATAGAGTTTCATCTTTTTCATGCACTTTATGAAGCAATCCCCAAGATATATCACCTGCAGAGACTTTTATATTAAAAATGTAATCATTGAACTGAAATGATGGGAAAATAAACTTTTTGGTACTAATCAAATTATTTCTTAAGTTTTTGAGCAAATGTACACTATCATACATCAAATAAATTATATGACCATTAAAAGTGATAAAAAAAATTTTTTCTGGCTTCTCTGAACCATAAAGGCTGAGTAATTTTGTAAAGTTGGAAGGTTATCAGCAGTCAATGCACGAATGTTAAAATCAGCTGATCTTAATGTATTTAAACTTTCTTCTATTTCATCTTTAATAAAATCTCCAGTAAGACTAATTTCTGGGATAGCTTTAATAACATATGGTATTGATTTTTTAAGACCAACAATCATGAACACAATTATTCCTTTGTAATGATTACCCTCAGTATCTTGACCAATTAATCTACCACTGTGGTATTTAACAAGATTGCTGAAAATACATTTCATCAAAAAGGAGAACACAATCATTGCTTATTTTTTCTTCATTTAATAACAGTTTTAATGATTTTATTGAATCGATTCCACCAGAAACTAACTTCTTTAGTAATGACATTGATGGCAATGAGAGTTGTTTCAAAAGAAGGGAATAAGCCTGAAATGATGAATATCTTTGCATAAGTGCAAAACATAATACTTGTGACGAATATGGAGGACGACCTTTGGATTTGTAAAAAATTAAATTTGATAGTTCATTAACTAAACCATACCAATTTTCTTCAACAAGGTTGTGCATATAAGACACCAAATTATTTAAAATCGATAAACTTGTAAGCTTACAATTGTTAATTGTTCTAAACCATTTAGGGGGTGGAAGTGGAGAACTTTTGTAATGTAACTTTACGTGCAAACTGTTATCGATGCGTATTGATTCAATAAATGGAGTTATGTCTACAAAAAATAAACGATAATATAAAACAAAACTTTCATATCTTTGAAAACTAAATCCATTTGGAGAGTTCATGAAGCATATCAATGTTTTTTATTTTATCCATTTCTTGAAATGTATGAATTTCATTTGGGATGGTAGAATGTTGGTCAGTTGGAGGTTTACGAAAAGTAGGAATTTTAGGTATTATAGAAGATGGAATAGAAATTTCATCAGAATAAATGGTTGGAACAGGGTTTAGCTCATATTTTAAGGTAACTTGTTTTCCATATTTTAAAACTTTTTTTCAAAATAGTCCAAGCATATAACTGAATGTTTGCTTGGCTTCCAATCTTTTCTGTTAACAAATTTCATCCATTTTTCTTTTAAAACAGTATCTTTAGGAAAACTAAAAACAGCTTTACTTGCACTAAGAAAACTAGATTCATTTTTTTTAGATTTATAGCCAGATTGACAATTAAAAGCAGCACATTTGTTCACCATTATATTCAAAACTAAGTTTCCAACTTAATCGATATCTCCCAAAATAAAATTTAAACAATATTAACTGGCAGTATGAAAAATAACCAAAATGCTAAAAACTGGCCTTCTAATTTTCGGCCTATTTATGCAACATATCCGGCCGTGTATAATGTAGGCCATGAACTGCCACTTTAAATTATAACTTAATCTGTAAAGTATAACATTAACTTACGCTATTTCAAACTCTGCTAAATGAGAAAATTATAAGATAATATTTAAAAACGAGAAATATTATGTTTAAAGAATAACAATTGCGAAGTTATGTAGAAAAGATACAATTTTATACTGATGAAGGGAGGGGGTAATTTTTTATTTTTTGTGATTAGATTTTTTTGCATTAATTCAAAACCTTTGGTGATGGAGAAAAGAAAGGAAAACACTTGTTTCATAAGATGACATACACAACATATGTGAAAATATATTGTAATTTATGTAAAATTTTACACATATTACATATTAATGTATTATTTTTGTTTTATATTATATATTATATATTATATTGTATTTGTAATATGTATTTGTAATATGTATGTATATATGGTATGCATGCGTATGTAGCATATATACATATGTAACATGTAAGAGTGTCTTATTTGTATGTAATACATTTTTTTTTTTCTGGATGGTTTAGGTTTTTGAATGTGGTTGGAATCCAAAGAAGGCACCCCCACTAGATAAACTTGTATCATTGTGTAGGAAATTAAATAATTTTCTTAAACAAAACAAAGACAATGTTGTGTTAGTCCATTGTTTGGTGAGTTGATTGATATAATTGATGTTACTTATAGTTAATAACAGTTGTATTTAACGACAGTTATAATTAATGACAGTTATAATTAATGACAATTATAATTAATGACAGTTATAATTAATGACAGTTATAATTAATTACAGTTATAATTAATGACAGTTATAATTAATAACAGTTATAATTAATGACAGTTATAATTAATGACAGTTATAATTAATGACAGTTATGTTTAATGACAGCTATATTTAATGACAGTTATAATTAATGACAGTTTTTCATACTAAAAACATTTTTTCAAACTTATTTTTGTGTATCTGATATGTTTTTTTATTTTTTTGTATCTGACGTTTTTTTATTTATGAATAGTTTGAAAATGCGCCTAATAAGGATTTTTTATCCTTATTTGCAAACACTGTCCTATTTTTTTTTTTTTTTAAGATTGTTGAACTTAATGTTGAATAAATTGTTTAAATCTATTCAAAAGTTATTTTACTTGCTTCCAGTACATGCTACAAAAGATATACCATTTTTACATAAAATTTGCCACAAAATTACTAAAAATAGGGTAAAAAAAATCAGTTTTAAAGGGAATCAAGGGAAAATTATAGTCTTGTTAGTAGTTCTACACAAAAAATTAATTATTCCTCAAGAACAAGTTGCAAAAGAAGTGTTGAAATCATGTCACTGAAGCAATAGCCAATTACAAAGAAAGTCTCATTGAACAATTGGTATCACATTGGAAAAAACAAAAAACTCACATCGGACAATTGAAGAACAATTTTTTTAATCATTACCCATACAGAATTTACCCAACAATTGAAGAGCTTTTTTAATCATTACCCATACAGAAAACAAAAAAAAGTTTCAAAAATGTTGAAAAAACCGTCAGCTTAAAATCAATTTTAGACAAATATAATGAAAATAAATTCCGGATTTTTTTTTTTTTTTTTTTTTGAAAATAATTTCTGGATTTTTAAAGTTAATGACTGATATTTTACAAAATTTTATAAATGATAAATTACAAAAATTAAATAAATAGATTACACATTATATATAAATAAATAGATTTTCACATTAAATTTCTATGAAAATTATTATTATATAATTTTTATTTGCATTTTTGGTTTTGTTTGTTAGACCACCTAACTTATTTTTAAAAAGATTTAAAGGAAAAATGTTTCTTTTTAGGATGGAAAAATTGCATCTGCTGTTTTACTATGTTCATTCTTTCTTTACTGTAAACTTTTTAATAATGTGTCATTGAGTGAACGCCTTTTCAGTTTAAAAAGATGTGGAGGATCATCTATGAACTTAACACCCTCACAAAGAAGGTTATTGTCAATATTGTATAACATAATTATTGGTGTGCAAATTATAGTAATAATAATAATAAAATTTATACATACATTATTGTTACTATTATTATTTTTATTATTATTGTTATTATTAATATTAATATGTTTATGTGTTGCACAAAACTATACAAAAACAAGTTGGATATGGACAGGGCAACCACTGGTCATGGAAATCATGATAATGAATTTGAATTTTATTTGGTTAGCGAAAAAGTCATGGAATTCCTACATTTTCATTAAAAGTCATGGAAAATTCATGGAATTTCTTAAAATAATATTTTTTCTTTGGTGTGATATTCTTAGGGTATTTGCAAAAAATGTACTAGTATGTCTAGCCTAAGTCCTTTTTCAAAAAGAAATTTTTGCAGTGTAAGTTATAGATTATCATTTTATTGCAATCAGCCAGGTCACTCTTTTCTGAAGATAGTTTAAATTTTAGTATTTATCAAAATATGATAACAGTTTAATAAATAACTAACATATATTTAGTTCCTGTTAAGTCAAATACTGTTTAACTCAAACTTTTGTTATCTTGAACTGTTTAATTTTATCCATTAAAATTGTCTAATTGATTACTATTAAAAATCTCTAGTTAAGTTGAACTTTGGATAGCTCCAACGTTGTTAAGTATAACCATTTTTTTGTCCCCTTATAGCAAATTTTTTTCAGTTAACTTGAACTTTTCATATTGGAAATTAAAAAATTGGAAATTAAAAAATCAAAATAACTTGATTAAAATTTTTTTTTAAGAAGTCATTTCATTTAAAATATAAATAACAGTAGCGTAATATTTTATATATTTTTTCGTTGTATTTATAACTAAATTCTTAGAATAGATTAAATTCTTAGAATTTTTATCAGATGTGAAATAGTTAATAAAAGATTGCTTGCTTTAAGACACAATATTATTACCAAATAAAAAGGAAGTCATTGTGTTGCTAAAGTTTTTTCAATGTTATCTTTTAAGTGTACTGAGTGAATAGAATGCGTAACTTCTTTTATTGAAATTTTTTTTACATTTTTGTTAGTATAGTGGTGTATATTTATTGTTTATACTTAAGCATTAAAAAAAAAATTGCCTTAAATCAAACTTGAATATCTCATACCAGCCAAAGTTTGACGTAATGGGAATTTGCTTCAGTTGATTTTTTCTTGGTCCCTTGAAGGTTCGATTTATTGGAAATTAATTGTACATTTAAAAGTTTTGTTTGAGTTTGTATTAATCAGTCAATTATCAGGACAGGTCACCCTGCTTCTGGTAACATGTAATCCAGTACAACCTGTTTCATAGGATTAACTCATAGTATAACTTTATAGTAAAGACTCCATTAAGTTGCATTACTAGCTGGTTAAAATTATTAAAAACTGCAAGAAAGAAGTCCTTTGAACTATCCTCAAATAATATGGCTAATAAAAAAGAAGTAGGATTTGCTTGTTTTGGTCAGCTAGTTGATAAGTTATATAGATCAAAGTTGATATCTGCCCATTTGATATCTTAGTTGATAACAGCTGATTCTGCTATAGATGAATTTGAAGACTTTACAAAATCTGTTGTAACAGTAAAAAAAAAATGTTCAGCCGATTCAATTATCTAAAAATGCACTTTGACAAAGTTTTTAATGCTTAATTTGAATGGGAATTTCAATTATTGGAAATAAATTAATGGGAATTATAATTATTAAGGAAAGTCTGTACCCTATTTTCAAATTTTTTTTTCAAAGATTAAGTTATTTTTATTTTTGTTAAGTTTTTATAAACACGTTGTAATATATGAAAAAAAATATATATATATATATTTTTTCAAAATATTAAAAAGCATTTTTTTTTTTTAATCTGAACAATAATCAGAAGTTTGTAATTAGAGTAAAACACCATGACTAAAGTTTGACCATGATTTAAAAAAAAAGCCTAAAAATCTTCTAAGAAACCAAGTAGCAATAATAAGAGTACATGGGGAGTACAAGGTGTTTTACTCTAATTTTTTTTTTCAGTCATGATTTCAGAACTTTCTACCAAATGCTTAGTGCATGGCAAGCATTGAATAATTTACTGATTAGTGGTTAATATAAAAGTTTATGAAGAGTCATGGAAAAATCATGGAACATTCATGAAAAAATCATGGTCAAACTTTAGTCATGGTGTTTTACTCTAATTACAAACTTCTGATTATTGTTTAGATTTAAAAAAAAAAAATGCTTTTTAATATTTTGAAAAAAATATATATATATATATATTTTCATATATTACAACATGTTTATAAAAACTTTACAAAAATAAAAATAACTTAATCTTTGAAAAAAAAATTTGAAAATAATGTAAAAGGTGGCCACCCTGTAAAAGGTGGCCACCCTGTATGGAACTTGGTGGGGTTTAATCTTAAGACTCTTGTGTATAATATTGGGGTTCTTTTACTATTATCATTAAAATTTTCATTATTATTATTATGGGTAGTTATGGGATATACATGATTGATTATTCTTTTTATTTTTATGTGTATTTTTTTATTATTATTATTTTGTTGTTTTATTATTATTTTGTTGTTTTATTATTATTATTTTGTTGTTGTTGTTTTTTCAGATACATTGGATATATTGGTGATATTGTAGCTAATCCGCCATACATTCCTCATAATAATATTATTTTTTTAAAAAGCATTTCTCTTTCTCAAACTCCTATTTTTAACAAAGCCAGGTATTCACCTTTTATATTTGATGTTTTTTGTTTGCAACTTTTTGTGACATTTATTATATAAATGAGCCCAATATTTTAAAAACTTATATTTGCATCATTTACTCTTCTTTTTCTAGAAAAGTTATATAATAATTAAATATATTATTTATAATCATGTCATCATTTATGAATTTAAACTTTTATTTATTTATTTTTTTTACTATTTTTATTTTTTTTGTTTTTTTCATTTTATTACTTTATTTATATTTATTCTGCAATTATTTTTTATTAGTTATATTATTTCGATAATTTTAAGGTTTATAAAAGGAAAAAACTACAGAAATGTTTAAGAAGATTCCAGAAAAAAGTTCTATCAAAATTATTTTAAAAAATATTATTTTTAAAGTCCTTATTTAATTACACTTCTTTTGACCCCAGCTTGACCTAATTTCAAAAAAGAAATTTTTGGTAATATTAGTGAGCAATTAATTTTTATTATAAATATTATTTTTTCAATTAATTTTAATTATTTTTTTTAAATATTAATTTTTCCAAGGCAAAATTACCATGCTTAAATTTTTTTTTTTTTTTTCCTAATTAGCTACCAAAAACTTTTTTTTAATTTTTTAATGACTAGAAATGATAGATGTAAATTCTGAGTTTTATGGTTTTGTACACATATGTGTATTTACATAAAAACAGCATTATCTAGTATTTCAATTTGTTTTAATATGATGTAATAATTGGTACACAAATAATTCCCATAGGATATTATTAAAGATTAGCATCATTCCCTATAAACATTGTTAGCGATTGATATAATTCCTTCTGGACAATATTAGTTGGTATAATTCCCCATGGATTGATTCACAAATAACTCCATTTAGGAATTTTTTTGAAGGAAAAAATTTCTAAATGGAATTATTTGTGCACAAAGAAATTCTAAATTGTGCACAAAGAAATTCTTGTGTAAATGGTTATAAAAGCCGTAACGGTAAACTTAGATAAAATATGATACGAGAGGGAATAACGACTTCATAGATTTTTGATGCAAGTGTAAAATTTAGTATAAATTTAGTTAAAAAACTGATTATTTTGAAATTCATAAAAAAATGGGGAGAACAGCTAAAAAAAAGAAGATGATGGTACAGAATAAGAAAAAACAGAAAAATTCAGAGGGGTTGAGGTATATTTACCTATTGAAGTACCCATGAAGGATTTACCTCAGAGGCAGCTTTAATCTTATGGTGATATTCTAAGATACTATCAATTTATCCTTCGCTTCGGTTAAATACAAACCTACTTCTACTAATGTTGGTTGCAAATCGAAATCGAAATCCAAGGATCTTGTTTGAAAATGGTGTTTTTTACAGATCCTGATTATTCTTGCTTGGTAACTAGGATTAAAAAAATTTGGAATAATACTGGGTTTGGCAATAAATTTGTGATTTCTGGGTACAATATAAAGACCAAAATCATTAAACTTAATTTAAAGAAGATATAAACTAAGTTCATTAAATAACACTTTTTTTAGTAGTGAGATTTTCTTTCCGATTTAAAGTAACTTAAGTAATAGCATATTATTTCCTTTAAAATATTTACGTTTAACTCTTTCCATGGTTTGATCATCTTCTAAGAAAAAAGTTCAAATATGTAGAACTTGAAGGAGACTTGGAGTGGATTTCAATAACTAAGGCCAACGGCATGTTCTTCATTTTGATACCAAACCGTTGGAACAAATTACCACTTGGCTTAACATTATTCAAAAAATTGAGCAACTTGCAGTCTCAGTGAGTTGCCTGGATGACAATGCCATGTAAGATTATCTTTTAGATGTTGTTTAATGTCCCTCTTCAAAGGAAGTTGACCAAGCAGAACAAGTGCACAATCTTTTAAAATATTATGGATGTAAAGATCAGATCATTGGTATATGCTGTGATACAACTGCAAGCAATACAGGTGGAGTCAATGGAGCAGTCCGAATTCTTACACATATTTTGAAATTGCCAATGTTGTGGATAATGTGTAGGAGACACATATATGAAGTACATGTATCTCACTAAATGGCTGCTCTTACTGGTAAGAAAACTAAAGGTCCAAGAAGAGCTCTTTATGTCAAGCTAAAGAACAAGTGGCCTGAAATCTGTGAGAAAGTTAATGAAGTGAAAAATTTATCTAAATTGTACTGGCAAAAAGATGATCTGAAGATTGACTTTTCTTCGCACTGTTGCTGAGGAAGCTAAGACTTTTTTGACTAATGCAATTACTGATATGATGTTTTCAAGGAATGATTATGGTATAGTTTGTAAGCTTGCCTCCTTCTTTCTTGGAGCGGAAGTACAAGGTTTTTAATTTCATCAACCTGGCGCCTGCCATGCAAGATTTTTAGCAGATGCGATCTGCTAAAAACAGCACATCTTTTTCTGTCAAGATATTAGTAATATCTTGACAGAAAAAGAAGTGCTGCAGTTAGAGGATGCAAGTTTGTTCATTGCAATTTGTTATGTTCCGAGGTTTTTAAAAAGTTTTTCAGGATTTCTGGCTCCCTACAATGATTTGAAAGCTATCCAGACACCCTGAACATTGAGAAAGGTCAGTAAAAATATTGGAAATGCTTTGTTTCTCAGCATGGGACGCCATACGTGGTACTTAACTTTTGGGATAAAGAAGTTCCTTCTCAAACAAAGCTAAGAATGCTGTTAGCTCTGATTGAGTTTGAATAGCAAAATGAACTTCAGCGTTGTAAACCATCAAATGTACAAATTGGAGAGACTACAGAGCTACCTGAATTGATTTACGAGCAGAGCTTCTCTTCAAATATTTTAAAATATCAAGTATAAAAGAATGACTCAATGATAGTCTTAATACTAAAGATGTTTTTAACTATCCTCAGTTGCTAGATTTTATTGCATGGATCGAAAACATATCTGTTGTAAATGATGGTGCAGCAAGAAACATTAAACTCATTAAAGATTTTATTTCAGCTACTAGAGATAAAGATGAAAAGATGAAGATGATGAAACGAACCTTCAAAATGTATTTTTTGTAGTTAAAAATACATTTTTAACTACAAAACAAAATCTTAAATTTGTTAATAAATGTTAGTTTTAATGTATTTTTTTGTATTTTCATATTTATAAATATAGACTATCAAGTTAAATAGTAGAAAACAATTGGAAATGATTTATACGCATATAATTGTTTTTTTTTAATTTTCTAAAGTGTAAAAAAATTGTGTTTTCTATTAATGTTAAGCCAGCTTAACATTAAAACAGTAAAACTCAGATTTTACATCTAGCACCTTCTGCTTAAGGTAAAACCGTCAAATTTTTTTAGGACTTATTTAGGTCACATAGAATGGGAATCAGTTTTTTTTTTTTTTTGGGACACCCTAATATATATGTATATATATACAACCTTCGGAATTAGGAAAAACAAGGTTGGCAAAAAAATTTGATACAAAGGTCTCACCATAAAACATAGAAACGAGGTCGGTAATTATTTGCTGACCTCAAACACTTTATGGTCGGCAGTTGAGTCGGCGCTGCTGAATGCCAACCCTAATTCTGAGGGTTTTATATATATATATATATATATATATATATATATATATATATATATATATATATATATATATATATATATATATATATATATATATATATATATATATATATATATATTAGACTGCTTCATTTTGATGTCATGAAAAAATTAAAAGTACAATGGAGTCTTATCTGCTGCACAGACCCATATTTTGTTAGTAGAAATGCATACCCTTGTATACTTATATTTACAATGTAGCAATTACTAGTATTAATTATGTAGAATTATGCAACCAACAAATTCTAAAAACAGAAGGTCCTGTTCATACTTGCTGTTTGCTAGAAAGCAAGAAAAATTCTTATCGAGAATAAATTGCTACAAATTAATTATATCATAAGTACCAACAAGTTCAGATATCGAGTTATTGAGTTACTTTTTTAGAGAACTACTGCTGATAATATTTTGATAAAGTTTCCACAGGAATCCATAATCTTCTTAACACCATTTTACTCAAACTTTAAAAGAAATTTGGGCACAAAAGAAAAAAAAAATGCATATGTTAGAGAAAAATAGTATTTTACAAAAATCAATTATGTAAAAACCTTTTGGTTTTCTTTATCAAGATTATTCCATGCTTATTTTACATCAAGATTATTCTAAGCTGTTCACACATGGTTTCTGGACACTTGTCTTATTGTGCTATTGTCCTTACTGACAAAAAATGTGAAGAAAGAATATCCATCAGCCCAAATGAGAGCCAACATTAAGGTCTTCAATTCTTTAAATTTCACAGAAACTTTGTGACTTGTGTTTCTTATGATAGGTTGGAGTAAAAGTGACTGTCAATGAATGAATCATCCATTCAAATATTGCACTTGCAATGATTTCTACCTAAAATTTCAGGATGCTGTTTTTCATTAACAACAACAAGAAGCTGTTTATTTTACGTAAATCATCACGGTTAGCACGGATCCTTATAATGCCTACCTAGCTGTCCCAAGAACGCTACTTATACAGAAAGTTAGCGTACACATCAAGGTACCCTGTGATGCAAATTTTAAAATCATTAAATTTTGTCTACGGAAAATAATTTAATTTGAATGTTCAAATTAAGTCAAATTTTGACTTCATAGTGCGCCAATAAAAACACTTGTAGAATTTGAACCACTCAATATAATTTGATAAAAATTGGTGCAAATGTAGCCAATAGTCACATCAAACTCTGGACAAAATTTCAGTCTGATTGGATGACTGGTGTTGGATTTATTGTAGTTTTAGTTAAAGTTTTGTCAGTTTTTTGCTACTTATACCTCAAAGCGTTACCGATTAATTAATTCGGTCACTATTTTTAAAATAACGGTTACATGAGTGTTCTACTATGTAATACCAACAATTTTTGTTATAATTATTTTATCGGTACATGTACAGTTTTCATTTTATAGGCCAAAATAGTGATTTGCTACTTAAAGCGAGATTTAAATAGTCTTATGCTAATAGTGTCGACACGGCCTTCAAAGTGGAGGGGATCAACACCTCGATTTCTAAAATAAAATCCATAATTTCTAAAATAATTGCTTATATTTCTAAAACAAAATATCCTCGCAAAAAAAAAGTAGAGAAGGACATGACCCCTAGCTTCCCTGGCGTTGACAACCACGTACGCTTCGCTTATATATACCAACATTTCCTAAGGTATAAACTGCTGCCAAAAAAAAAAAAAAGTGCAAAACCTGGTCAATGGACTACCAGTTAGTAAAACAAAACAAAAAAAAGTAGATCTCCTAAAATATTTTGTATTGACCACCTTAAATACATTTACTTTTAAAATGAAGTGAAAACTATTTAAACCTTATTTTTTACATTGTATTACCATCAAATATCTAATTACATTTTAAGAAATGTTTTTTTGATTTTCTCCACCAAAAGATTATTAATAAATAGCTCAATGTACTCTTTTAATACAAATACTCTATAATACTACTTTTAAAGATGGTGAAAATATTCATTATACACCGTAAAATATGAATTTCAGCAGCCTAATTTCTAATAACTCAAATGATGTTCTTTAAAGATGCAATATTTGATGTTAAAAATAGTCAAATTTTGACTATTTTTAACATTGTTGCATGCTACAAAAATTCACTTTTTGTTTGACAATTGGCAAGGCATGGAGCTGCACAAAGTCCTACATTCTACACATTCTAAAGATTCATATCTTGAATCTTTTCAAATTTTGTGTTTGTAACATACCACACACCTTTTCTAAGCATTATTCTTTCATTATCATTTTCATTAATCATTCATCAAATATATTTTTTCATTCATTCATCAAATATATCTTTTCATTATTCATTTATCAAATATATCTTTTCATTATTTATTCATCAAATAATTTTCTTCGTGAGAAAACATTTGCTTTTTTGATAATGATTTTTGCACTGAATGAAGTTCCTTATCTGCATATTTAAAATTAAAGTGAACACATAAAAGTAAATTGCTTAAACATCACTTTATGTGAACACATAAAAGTGAATTATTGAAACAAAAGCTCTGTAAATATGTAGTAATTAAATTTGTGACAATTGTGTATAATTACTGATAAACAAGAAAAAAATATGAGATGCATAAAACAGTAATATTAACGCATGGGCATTTGGAAACCACTTTCAGTTTGCATAATATTATGGCATGGACATTTGGAAACCACTTTAAGTTTGCTAATAATACGGCATGAACTGTTGGGTTAAAAAAAAAATAGTATATGATTATTCTTACTTATTTAGCACTGTCCTAATATATTTTGCATAAATTTTTTGTCCTTCCTGAGAAATGGACTCCAAACTGGTGCACAGTATTTAAAAGGACAAACATAAGATGTGTAGAATTTGAGAAAAATACACTCAGATAAATTCGATTAGAAAATCTTAAGTTCCATGACAACAAACAATAAGAGTGGTTTTTTGCTGTACAGCCAACAGAAAAGAGGTCTGCAATGATAAATTGAACAAGGTCTCTGTGATTGTATTAGCTATTATATATAGGTTGATCAAATGCAGTTATTCTGGCTTTGAAATTTGTCTATTTGTTCTACAACAATGTAGTATTGGTATAAGAGCATTTATAATCAGAAATAGTTAGAAGAATAGGATGAAAAAACATTCACTGAATCTATAGGTCACAGTGGGACAAAGCGTAGACATTTTATAATTGGTTTTAGACTTCTTTTCTAATTGCTAAGTAAATTGACCCAAAATGGACTCCCCAAAAACCTTACTCAAATGATGTATAGAAAGCCTCCTTTAAGTACCTTATACTTCCTCGGTCAACTTTTTATTTCTGGCTTTAAACTCAGCACGGAGTTTTGAAAATGCAATCCTCTCAATTTTGGTTTAGTCAGCTCTCGCATAGATTCTGTTAAAACCACTTTCTTGAAATCTCTAGCATTATTTGGTGGTTTCCATAATAATTTAATTCTACCAAGGGCGTATAAATAGATGGATGTTTAACGCATTGCAATAGATTACTCCATTACTCCCTACATTTATGATTTGTTAATCTCTTAAAGATTTTCTCTTTTTTGATGGAAATCAAATTGTTTTTTGTCTCATCTTTGTTTTGATATTTTTTTTTAGTTTTAGAATAATCATATATTTAAAAACTTTTTGTTATAGTTTTTGTTATATAGTACAGGAGTTATACAAGCCGGGTTGAATATATAGAATATTTTTTAACAAAATATTAAAATATATTAACCACAATACTTTACATAATGAAGTTTTTTTAATTTAATTGGATAGATGCAACAGTTATCATTTTGATGTATAATTGTATAAAAGTATATCCACATGACACAAATGTTTCCTATTGTTTGGCTATTGTTATTTATAAAAATTGCTAGGTTGTACCTAAAACCCGGCCCAACCATAAAGCTAACTTTTATTTATTTTTTTAAAAATCTTTGATTTTGCAAAAGACATACATTTGTTTACCTTTTTATTGGTTAAAAGTTAAATTGATTTAAAAGTTAAATTGATATTGAAGAAATAATATAATAAAGTAATAAATGTCATTTTTGGTTTTTACAAAAAAATTATTTAGAGTGTCTATTATAAAGTTGTATGGTTTATATAGGAAGCGATGAGATAATTACTAAAACCAATAAGTAGATGTGTGGATTTTATACAAAACTTAAAAAATCATTTTTATTGTATCATCCAGAAAGTACTGAAACTAATAAAAGAAATTTGCTTAGAGTACAACAAAGACCAAATGGATCCTACCATTCACGCTAAGCCATTCTCCATAATTGGAGATTGAGATGTCAATGCGGCTCCTGATGCTGTAAGTGACAACAATGCAAAAAAAGTGATTGCCTCAATGAACCATGAAGAATTTAATGCAATTCCTTCAATAACCCTTTTCGCAATTCCTTGCAATAACCCTTAACCCTAATGCAATTCCTTGCAATAACCTTTCACAATAAAAACAACCACTGGACACTCTTAATTGCCAACACTCTTGATAAAACAGTAGGGTTTGCGGATTCTCTTAATGGAGTTAATACTTTAAAGCATTATATGTTTCTGTAATACTTTGAAGTATTAAATGTTTCAGTAATACTTTGAAGCATTATTTGTTTCTGAGATATATGATATTACGTTTATCTGTTACTCATAAACCTGGAGTTTGGGACAAATTTGTTTTTAATGTACCTCAACAACTCAATGGAAAAAGTTGTGGAGTTTTTGAACTAATATTTGCAAGAGCTGTTACTAACAATGTGAACATAGTGTATATCCGAAAGCTGTGGCATTATATCGTCGATACATTCATGCTAGACTTGTACAACGAATGTGCGTTAATATTGATAACAAAAATATGTGACATTCTGTTTTGTGTTAAACCTTTTGGTGCTCGTTTAAAATAGAAACAATGCAATCGTCGGTGTCATAATGCCTCCTCACTGTGTCAACCTTCTCACGCAACATTTTCATAAAGCCAATGCATTTGAACACATAAATAATATGTTTCTGGTTTATGTTGTTTAAAACTTTATTTATTTTTGTAAAAAAAAAATTCAAACAATAAAAATTTTTATCATTTGTGAATTTGGTATAATAAGTGTATAAGTTTGTTTATTTATATATTAAAAAAAAGACTTTTTATCCTAGCCATGTTTTAGGTTTTTAAGCCGGGCCGGCTTTTAGGTACAATCCAATTGCTAGTGCGCATGTCTTAGCTTTTAAACAATGAGTTAAATGTTTATCTATTAATACGTCCTTGATTCTATTGAAGAGGTGGTTGCAAAATTGTCTGGGTTATAAAACAAAATGATAAATATAAAACAATATGTTCTTAAATTTTTAGAACTGGTTGTCGACCTTTTATAGAAATTTTTGAGAATGAAAAGAGAGTGCTTAACACAGCTCAAGAGATTGAGTTGATGAG